TGTAATTGTGACATTTTGTTCAAAATTATGATTTTTTATTAGTTTACTGGGTCACTAAATTGACCTATTGCTATATCAAAAAATTCTGTAGAAAATATATTTTTCATGTTTGATGCCATTGAAGCTTTTCAGGCTTTTGATTTATTATGAATGTCCAGGAAAAAAGTAATAACCTTGAACCTTGCCTCTAATATAAAGCGGTCAAATTTAATTTCACTGATACCATCACTTAGTGATATTGCCTTCTCAATTCTGTGAATATTTCATTAATTTTTATTACAAGAAGTATGAGAAGAATCCTACCTTAACTTATTTAAATTTTAGTTAATAATAAGAATGAAAAATTGCTTGCTTGGTCAGGGCTAGTGATTTCATGATCATGCAGGGCTAGTAAAAATGTTTGTAAGTAGTTTGACTGGTCTAGTACTTGTAAAATTTAATGTCCAACTGTAAAGTAACAAAGCCATTGTTATTTATCAGTGTAAAAAAAATTAAACTGTGTGCAAGTAAAGTTTACTCTTTTGACACACACATTGCATGATCTCTTGACTTGCTTGTACTAAATTATATTCTCTTTTAGTTATATTTAGAGTACGAGTTTTCTACTGTATCAGAGATACAGGGCGGGGCTTAAGGCGAGAGCGACAGCTCGAGCCGGGCCCCGCCCTGTATCTCTGATACAGTAGAAAACGAGTACTCTAAATGTCTTGTGACACGACCCCTAAAACCAATCAGGTTACGGTATTTTACTGTTCAGCCAATCAGATTACTTCATTGTTGAATATATAAAAAAAAAGTTGAGAGAGCGCGCTAAAACTGTAGCATTGCGATGGAACATGTGGACGCTTTTGGGGAATTTGAGCTGGGCAGCGATTTTGATTTATTAGACTTGCCGTGTTTAGATGAATTCCTAATCAACGAAATCGATGATATAACATTATCTCAAGTTTGTGAGACGATAGAATTCGAAAACGCGGCATATGAAGGATTGATGGACCTCTCCCTATCCCCTGTGCCTGGCAATGACAATAGCTCGTAGATGGAAATCGAAAACAAAGACATTGTTTTGAGCGAAAGTCGGTTTGCTCAACCGGTGAGTGATACTGATATTAAGAATCTGATAAAAGACCAAAAACTGTAAATACGAAACACAACACCAAATGGGCGATGAACCTATTTGAGAAATGGCGGGCCAGTCGAGGAGCGGACATTCTCGAGCTTAACCACATGACTGCAGAACAGATGAATTTTTGGTTAGCACGATTCGTAATGGAAGCCCGTAAGAAAGATGGTACAGAATACCCACCCCGATCAATCTACCTGATTTTGTGCGGACTGTTGCGATTTTTGAAGGACAACGGAGTACACGACAAGAATTTCCTCGATGAGTCTAACGGAGAATTTGCAGAATTCCGGAAATTAGTTGACGCAAGGATGAAATCCCTTATCGACAAAGGACTGGGGTGTGATATAAAGCAGGCGGACCCTATTCTCCCCCAAGATGAGGAAACCCTGTGGCAAAAGAGCGTGTTTGGAAGGGAAACCTCAGAGCAGTTGCAACATACCGTATTTTTTTATGCGTGTAAACTCTTTGGATTACGAGGATACGACGAACACCACAGTTTACAGTGCGAGCAGTTCAAAATCGGAGAGGACGGTGCTGGACGATACATCCAGTTCGCTGGGAGGGCCACAAAAACCTATAAAGGCGGCTTAGGACATCTGAATGTGCAGTCAAAAAACCTGAAGCACCATTCTCCCCCTGGTAAGTACATGTACTGTATTTATTTATTGTAACTGTTAGTTGATCCCCCCCTTACACCCAAACATTCAAAGAAATGTACATACTGTAGTTAACTTCCTTTTATTTATTGAAGGTGATCGCTGTATGGTTGACTACTTTGAGCTGTATTTAGAGTCCCTGGGGAATACGGGTGCATTCTTTTGACGGCCATTACCTCCCACAGACGAAATTCAGATACGTTTCGGTCAACAATTGGTTGGAGTAAACAAGCTGAAATCATTTATGAAAACAATCGCTGAAAAGGGTGGACTGAAGGGAAATTTTAGTAACCATAGTGGTAAACGTACTTGCGCCACGCAGTTGTACTTGAGTGGAATTTCCGAGCAAGAAATTATGCGACGCACGGGGCATAGGTCCGAGAAAAGTGTAAGAAAGTACAAGCGAAGTAGTGAAGAGATTGATGTTGCAGTGTCGAAAGTTTTGGATCCCCCCAGAATAAGTCCGTATGTGTAAAATCTGAAAATGATGTTGAGCCCCCAAGAAAGAAGGTGAAATGTGAAAGTTCCTCAGGCTCAGAGGAATATCGTTCCGGTTTGAGGGAATTCCGTGTTCTGGAAGATCTTACCAATTCAAACAATAAGGCAGTTTTTGCTAATTGTAGTTTTAATTTTAGCATTGGCAATTAAGCGGACTTTTACAGTGTAATTTTTTTATATTGTAAAAAAAATATTTGAAAATTGATGTTGTTTCAGATTCTGTTTAAAAAAACTTTGAAAAATTTATGCTGCTTCAGATTTGTTAAAAAAAACTGAAAAATTGATGTTGCTTCACATTATTTTGAATTTCATGCCAGATAGCTGCATTAAACATTTTAAAATTTACACAGGTCTCTTTCTTTGAAATTTACTTGAGATGTTGGCGGTGATCCAAATATTGTTCGTGCTGTATCAGGGATATTTTGCAGATACAGTACACTTTTGTCCTCATTTGCATAAAACACGCCCCTCAAAAGTGTACTGTATCACAGTTACAGCACAGTCAATTTCTATACAAAAACACCAAAGTCGTGTCACAATTGTCATTAAGTTTTAAAATTGTCACAATGATTGCATGATGTCCTTAACAGAGCAAAACTTTTAAGGCAAATTTAAAACCAGAACTAGTGTGTTCATGTAGGATCTAAAAGAGGGAAAAATACCTTCATTGTTGCATGCTTTTTGGCTGGTCGACAATTTACTATATGAAAGGTCATTAACTGTGTTTACATTTGTTGTAGTTCCTTGACTCCAACAGATCAAACTTGTGTGTAAACTACAGACGCAAGTTTCTTTTTATCCATTTGAGGGTATTTAAGAAATACAACTTCATACAAAATACTAACATTATTATGTATATCTCATTGTTGTTTGCCAGAATTGCCCAATTTCAAAATCATTATTAACAAAAGAAGCCAAAAATTGTTTTTCAAGCAGCAGCAAAATTTAGCCGGGATATAAGGAGAAAATAAAGTCCACAATTTTAAATTGAGTCCAAAGTTGACTTGATATATTGTGCCCATATACAACATGCAAGACAAACCTATGTAATAATTTGTTTGATTTTATGATATGATATTGAGAATGAATATTTTCTAAATTGATAAGCTGGAGTAAGGGTAAAATATAAGTAATTAATATTTCTTATCCAGTTTCTTTCGGTATGAAATAAATATTCATCTAAAATTTCATTTTTGGGGTATGGAGAATTAAGGAGATAATGGGTTCTACTGATAGAGATTGTTTTCACTCTCAAGAAAATACAGTCATAATAGAATGAGATTTTTTCACTCTAAAGAAATGAAAAGAGAAATTAAACCTGTCAAAATATTAGTTGAACATGATGTAATCTCTTTATGCTTTGACAATTCTCCTTTTGTATAAAAAGATTTTCTCAGTAACCTAATATATTTGATAAAATATGAAATTGTCTGAATTTGAATGGAATTTGCAAATACTGAATCTCAGTTTAATAACACCCAGGAATTTATATCTTGACCTGCGGGAATAATTAACAACACAAATATGTGGCTTTAGATGGTGAGGTTTTAGATTAGTATCAGAGAGAGAGAGAGGTGGAGAGAGTGAGAAGCTAAAATCATAAAGTGATTGAATAATCTACGAAGAATAAAACCCTCTTTAAAAGCCAGGCTTTGTGATTGAAAACTATAAAACAGTCGCTGTTTAATTTCTGCTGTGTTCCAGCAGATACTTATCTGTCCCTTTAACTTGGGTCCCTCTTTTGTCCGTGGGATGGTTTATAGCCTTATTTTAACTGCTCTATGAGCAAGTTCGTGTTTATTTTCCTTTATGAAGGAACAATTACAATTACTTTTCAAGATTTCAGAGCAAATGATTGTTAATGTTATGTGTGCATGCCAAATACTGCAATAATTTTTTTTTTTAAATACATGCATTGTATTTTATTTCACAAGTGATCACTTATCTGTAAAAAGAAAAATTGAAATGAATTCCAAATATTTTGAGATGAAAAAGTTTAAGGCATTAATATAAATGATTCCATCTTCTTTCCCCAAGGGACCCCTACCCATCTGGTCTATCTTCTGTGGAATAAGTGACAATAAGGTTTTCTTTCATTTTTGGACAACAGCTGTCAATTATTGAAAAGATAAATGTACTGGAAAATGATATTTAAAACGTACATTGAATTGTTTTATCTTTCTCTTTTGGACAACAGATGTCAATTATTGAAAAGATAAATAAAATGTATTTGAAAATGAGATCTGAATTATTGATACTTGATTTTAATTTTGTGTAAATATGCTTTTTAGGAATATATCTAGCTAGACATTGATTTGTACTGGTAACTATATATCTCTTCACTGCTACTAACCCTTTTTAACACATATTTTTTTTTATCCACATCTGTTTACCCCAAAGCCTTGCTGTTTAAGATATTAATCTCACATTTGCTTCATCATGGTGACATTGAAAAGAATACTTTTGATTTCAGGGGCAAATTTATTTTTATATTATGGTTTATTTTTTTCATGCAGACCTTTTTCGATTGCTTATTATTGAAATTAAATTAAAATTTAAAAGGGTTAACAAGAAACGAATTCCAATTTCTTGAATGATTGAAATAGGTCTGTAAAATTGTTTAAATTCTAAAAAGAATTAACTCATGGAGCACTGTTTTAACTAACTTGCATTCTGGAAAACTGCAACAACAGTAATAGTGTATTTTGAATAATTTTCAGAAAATCTATAAGTGAAGCTTATGAAGAATACCCCTTAAATTATAGCAGGTTAGTTGATTACACAAACAAAAATATACAGATGCGAATGTCTTTCTGATTTATGTATGATTTTACTTAAAATATGAAAGTAGTGGGGGTACCTGAGAAGTCATGAATTTGAAGTAAAAACAAATCTATGGTAGAGTTTATTCCTTTTCCAGAATTAAGAGATTTCTTTCTCATTTCCAGAAAAAAATGAAAAATATTTAATTAAAATTTTTTTTATGCTCCTTAAATTTTTTTCTCTTTCTTTTCAGCAAATGCATGAATAACGAATATGAAGCCTATGTGTTAAGTGTTGGGGATTTTGATGAAAGGGTGTTTTTGGGCAGTGAGGCTGATGAGGAAATAGGGACCCCCACAAAATACAGAGAGGAAGGTGCCGGAGAGCTGGCAGAAAAACTACAGGCCAATCTACAGCAACATTTTGATGAGGTCAGGACATTGCTCCTATATATACTGGTAGTCATGAATGCTATTTAAAGTTTGTTGAAATAAATTTCCAAGTAATATATGAAATACCACAAGTAAATGAATATAAGAAACTTTGATAGCATTAGAATGGTCAAATTATGGAATAGGAGACTTGATTTGCTATTCATTGTTATTTGACCTTGATCAGAAATGAAAGAAACTAGGAAAGTGCACCAAGAAGACTTAAGTCAAACTATGGTTGTTTTTTTAAACATGGAAAAAGATCTCAATGACCTCATTGTTTTTGGCAGAAACACACTTTCATATTGATCTGATGATCTTCATGCTATTTCCACACTGCATTTGTTCAAATTTCTCAAAAATGGAACCACACCTCTACTTAAGAGGAGCAATGTGATTTTTATGTGGTTGATGTAAAGGATGCAGTATGTACTTTTAGTTCTGAACAGTATACATGGAGATGATATGGATGTTCTATCAAACTTTGGCTGAGATATCACTAACCCATTGTAAAATTATTTACATTCAATCAGCTATCCTTGTCTAAATTCTATAACTGTATACCTAGCAAAGTACACATGGGTCAGGGAATAAAATAGTAGTACATATTGGATTCACTTTCTTCTGCCTGTAATCATTAACAACAAAAGCATGAAATATTTCTGAACACTAGTTTTCTGCAAAGGTTGTTTAAAACAAAAATCAGTCAGCTTTGTTCACATTTCTTTTGTGTGTGTGTGAAATGCTTGATCAAGGCAGGTTTTAGCTAGTACGGGAAGAAGAGGCAAAAAGCATTGGCCAGTGTCCAGTGTGGCAGTGTTATAGCTGGATTTGGTGTCCCAGCATTTAAAAGTGGTGGGACCCTGCAGGACACAAACTTAATGTGGTCAGGGATTGATAACTCCCTATTGTGGCCTTATATGTATGTCTTTAAACTGGCACACTTAACTGTTAATTATACTATTCTTGGTAAAGCCTATGTAACATGGGATCTAATGCTTTTTATCAAGGTTTAATGGAGTTTCACCTGCTATGTGTCAAAGTTTTATAAAGGCTACAAAATCAGGAATATATAGCATTTTCCGAGAACTTTGGGCTCTATCAATTATCCTCTGGTAAAATCAATTTAGTTGGTTTGCTGGTGTGAACGAAGAATCATGTTGACATATACCAAATCAAAGAAAATATTTAGTAGGATGCATTGATTATTATTATTATTATATGCTTTGGTTATTGCATTTAACAAAAGAGACAATCAATTTGAATCATTTAAAGAAAAATGTATCTGAAGCAATTGAATTATAGATTATATATAGAACAAAAATTTCCCCCTCAAAAATCTTGTACCAGGTATCTTTAAGAATTCTAGAAAAAAAAAATTAATCTTGTCTAGGGGAAAAAAACATTAATAATCACAATACATTCATGAAATTGAAAAAAAAAATGAAATGAAAGTTTGATTACATATTAATATTTAGAATTAACAAACACTGGTTACTTTGTAATCATCATAATTATTAATGAGAGATCTTATTAGAATACTAGAGACTGAGTAATTTGGAGAGCTTGGTGATACAAATATTATTATTAAATGACTATTGATTCCTGCAACATCTACAGGTAGACAACAGGTTTAGGCAGGTTTTCCCTCTCGCTGTGCTAACAAAGAAAATCAGCTGATTGTGCTGATCAGACAGGATTTATTTCCTATGCGAAGGACTATCACCCACTGTTAATTAGTCATTAGGCCTCAAAAGTTGATTTGACAGTTGTGGATCACCCATCAAATTGTGAAAAGCAGGATTTAAAACTCATTGGTCTCAAAACGAAGTGATTATTTCTTTTAAAGAAATTAGCAGATGTTTAAATTACAAACAATGATGGAGACCCTGTGATTGAAAGATAGGATCGTGTGTTTTTAGCACAGAGAAAACAAAACCAAAAAAAAAAAAAAAAAAAAAATCATGGATAAATTTTGGAAAACTTCCAGCAGCAATAAAACCTATATAGGCTTTGTTAGTGTAGAATGATCAGTTTCCTTATGAGCTGACACTGAACTGGAACATTACTATCATTAGGAAATAGTCTATGCAGTGAACTTTCTCCTGAATATGCAGGAAATAAATTTAATATGATGGTCATCTATGAAGGACAGAATCCAGGGGCCTGCAACTTCGTAAGACCACAGCTACACTTTCCAAATCAGTGCCGGAAAAAAACGTCCAGGCACAAAAAAGCTGTCCGGTGTGTTTGTCAGAATCACAGTGTGTGGCCATTCACTGATAGTCCTTGTTACTCTCTCTCATTTGAACAGACCAAGTCCCTGGCCCCCTCCACCCCTCTGACGGGCCGGCGGTACCTGAAGGAGAAAGATGTGAGTACCACGCCAGTCTCCACCGCTACACAGAGTGTGGGCAAGCTACAGAATCTGTTAGTGGGACGCAAGGCTTTACCCAGTGATGACCTGCTGGATATATTTAGGTAGGTATAACGTAAATATATCAGAATTCCATTCCTTCATATCTGGTTTGTGGTTTCAAAGCTTAATGAATATTTTTCAGATTATATTAATATTCAAATCTTGTTATCTCAGAAAATATTGATTCAGAAGAATATCTTAGGATTTAAGATGTCTTGGTTAAATAATTAAAGAAAACATGGTTGAGGCTTCCAACTTACTTTGATATATGCATAATATTGGAAATGTATTGGTGTTCAAGATGTTGATGTTCAACTGTATGTCTATAAAATAAATTTGAAGGGGGAAAATTATTTAAAAATTATAAAAAGACTGGGTTAATATGTCAGTTGCAACAGCAGGGTCATTTGTATTTCTTTAAAATGTGTTTTTATGGAGAAAAGAAAAAATGATTGGTCTTTTCTCAAGACTAATTATGAAATTTTATTAAAAATTGACATGTAAATATATAAAATTTCTTATAAGGATATCAAATTTAGATAAAAAAATTTTTTAGCTTCAAATATGTATGAAAATAATAATAAAAAAAAAAATCCACTTTAAAATGGTATTGCAAGTATCTCCATCCCTTCCCCCAAGTTTTGCCAAGAGCAACTTAATTTCTCAACCCGTCAAAGTTCTTTTATAATGAAGTTGAAAAAAGGATATCTTTTTAACACACCAATGTGTTTACTGTGTGTGCAGCCAGGTAATCTGCAAAAAAAGGTCAAGACATCAACTATTTTTGTCTGAACTTTTGTATTTAAATCTTGGAAGTCTTTGGTTTTCAAAGGAAGTATTTCAGAAACCCTTGGCTTTTAGTACTACATAGATTTAAATCTTGTGTTTTTAAAGAACTTGCTGATTTGCAGTTTTTTGGTCAGTAGTCACTTTCTGTAGTATATGCCATATAGAGACAAAAGTTTTTTTTTAAAGAACACTAACACTAGGGTGAAAATGAAAACAAGGAAATTCAATATGTTTCTGGTCACTTTCCAATTTCTGTAAGTTACTTGGGCAGGTAAGAATGGCAATTATGATTCACCCTTGATGATAAAAACGTGTTCATGCTGAAATACAATTGAGAAAAAGAAGCACTTTTAATTGCTAATGTATACAAAATTTGATAAAGCAGAGTAATTTGTATGAAAATGTAGTTCATTCTTTGAAGTTTTGAGATAAAATGAGAAAAAAGAAATTTTTAAATTGATTGTAATTATTTGAGTAAACACTTAAAATTTCCAATGAAGTGTGGGGGTATTAATCCTGACATGCTTCTTCTTTTGAAATAAATTTGACACAGGAAATTTAGTGCACACAATTCAAGTATCAGTTAAATGAACATAACAAGCACAGGAATTTTTAAATGATCTCTCGGTTCAATGTATGCCTCCTCATCTCAACTCTAAATAAAGAGAAATAATAAGGCCAATTTATTTTATTCAGTGGAATTGAATTGGGTTGTTTAAATTGGCTTTCTCTATGTTTGATCTTGAAAAACTGATTAAAACAGAATTAACAGTTTAAAAGATACATATGATATTTTTGATTCATGTGTGTAACTGTACTTATCTCCAGTATTGACAAATGGTGGCCTTGGTATGAATATTAGATTTATTTGAGAATAATTCTCTTTGTTGTGTAATTTTCTGATGGATCTGAAACAAGATCATAAAGTAAATGCAGTTTGTTTGTGTACCAAAGTTCTGCATTCATTTTACATGTGTCGATGCTACAGAACACATAAACGGTAGGGGAACTTCAATATTCTTTCAATAAAATTTTGGCAAAGAATGATATGAAATGAATTAGTGTAATTTGGCCCCACATCTAAGTTATATTTGCTAGGGTGGACTCTGGTAATGAAAATTCTATATTAAGTACAGACCAAGGCAAAGTGACAAGAATAGATTGAGGAGTTTGTAACCCTTAGGCCATACCAATTTGTAAAATAGTTCTTCGGATTTTCAAAAATAAAAAGTGAGGCGAGCGAGCGAAATTTTTTTATAAATATTATTTTTTATTTTGGGTTTCAAAATTATGAGGCGAGCGAATATAATTAATACATATATATATATATTTTAATAAAGTGTGATTTCAAAGAGCGTGAACCTAGAAAAATTAAGATAGATATCATTTGCATACCACATGAACTTATCATTCTTAACTTTTTGGAGATTTTTTTTAATAAGTAAAAATGTGTCAAATTTCAATGACTTTACTTTCATAAATGTAATGTTTTGAAACATCTTCTCTGCTTCCATTTCTATTGCTGTGTATGAAACAACTTTGTACCCATTGTTTTTAACTACAGTACACAGTGTTGTGCAATTAAAAAAATCAAGTACTAGCCCACAGGCTAGTGGCAGCTGCAAAGTTACTAGCCCAAATACAGGGGCAAAAATTAAAATAAAACTATAAAATAATGTTGAAAAAGAAATTAATTGCTGATAAAAGTCAGGGTACTGAGGTCATTCTTTTTAAAGTCAAAGTTTAAATTCTCAATATCAAATTCAGTCATGTTTAAATTATTATGAAATAAAATTAAAATGAACTTCAATAAATTATCTTCCCTTTCTCTGATCATTGCACTAGCTCATTTAGAATGAAATTAAATTCATTTTGTTTTCATCTTAAATCATTCAAGACAAAAGAAATATATTTTATGTGAGTCACAAAACACTTATCTTTCAGTTGATTGAGTGATCGTAAATAATTTAAAGATATAGCTGCATGCATTTACCATAAACGGAGGAATAGAGGAAATTCGGATTAGGAAAAAAACGATCGCTTTTGGAAGTAAATAAGTCAGGTAGTTCTGCAAAACGGATAAGATTATGGAGATTTATTGACAGTAGGAGTATGTTGTCTGGAAAATATAAACTGGTTTGGAATTTTATAGCCAAAAAACGAGTTAAAATACCGGTTGTGCTTTTCATGTATTGCATGCGTAGTTATATTTTTTACTAGCCCGACGGGCTACCTCCTTGTAGAAAACCACTATCCCGACCCCCAAAAATGTTAGCCCCGGGCGTCAGGGGATGCTAATTGCACACCCCTGGTACATATGATCAGTTAAACAGACATGGTGCAAAACTTCACAAACTGCTTCAATCTCACTGTAAATCCCGCGCATCTGTCATACATGTGTATTTGGTGCAAAAAGTTGAGAAAAAAAATTGTTGTCGGATTTTTTTGGAAGCGCGCGCGGACATTTTTTTTTAATATTATAATTTGCATTTGTAATAAATAGAAGCGGCGAATCCGACGAACTATATTAGAAATTGGTATGGCCTTAGCTACATATATAATGTTTATGATGTCCATCTTTCATATGTCTGTCCCATTTCATATTAAACCTTAGTTTTAAATAAACTATTTAAGATAAATTTATCAAACTCTATAGACTGATACATGTAAATGAGAGCTATTCAAATCTTAATGTTTTTTTTATGTTGACCTTTCCTTTGAACTTTGACCTTACTTTACTTTAATTTACAATTCACTCAAAGAAACTATTGAAGACCTTTCATTGATGCTCATACTATGATGCAAATTGCTGAAAATTATTTAGTTTTATCTAAATTTTCTGATTTTGACCTTTGTTATGACTTTGACCTCAATATTCCTAAGTGTGTACCAGTAGTTTGCTCAGTTTCAATGAATATTTTTGTAGTTTATTTAGTGTATCATATCATTTAATGCACACAGTCTGAATCAGCCTTAATCAATAGAAGCTTTCTGTATACAGTTCATGTTTTAGTTAGTAAATGTGTATATTCAGTATATCAAACATGCTTAATGTGAGAATTCTTGTTGTAGTGAAATAGGTACAGATCCCAAAACGAAAATTATGGAAAGACTTGATGAAATGGGCAAAATTTTCTGCAACCATTATGTACAGGTAAGTTATAAATAAAGATCTAAAATATTTAGTGGGTATATTTGGTCAACGATGGCATCGCAAAATGAAGCAAAGCAGCATTCGACATCCATCCAGATGCAAATGACTTCACTTCCATTTGTAGAGCGCTAATTCACTCAACCACAAATATTTACATTCAATGTGATTTTCCTTATGAAATTCATTAAAAATCCACGACGTTCAAATTACTATAACACACGCGAAACCTTGTCACCGCGCGTTAGAATACATAGTAGGAACTATATGCAATTTCAATACTCTAGGAACACCAAAATGTAAAATATTTTACTTCAATTTAATGAAAAACTATAACCCTGAAAAATTAATGTAAAAATTCACGTAACGTGCGTTAAGAATTAATTTGTCACTTTTTTCCGCGCAATGTTTGTTTGCGTAAGTTAACTTTGCAACGTCATTTAACGTCATTTGACGTCACAAATGGCTCTTACATCTATTAACCACGGCAGTTTTGAAAGGCGCTAAATTCACATTAAAGATTAACGAAATAAGCAATTATGAAGAACAAAAATTAGAGAATGTAAATATAATCATTGAATTCATATTTTTGGATGTCTTCGGTCCTATAACACACGCGCGGTATTCAATTTTTCGGCACGGCCAGGTGTGTTATAGGACCGAAGACATCCAAAAATATGAATTCAATGCTTAAATAAACACACATGATTTCATTGCTATATACCCCCAACTGTGTTGTGAGGGAATAATAAGGGGACATGAAGGCTAACTTATATGTCATTTTGAAGACACTAGAAAAGAAAAACACAACTAAATGAATATGAGTGAAAATTATTTATGTATTTGAAGGAAACTGAGGACCATGCAGGTTCACAGATTGAGTTTGCCCAGAAACGGCTACAGTTAGGAGAATGTCTGTACTACAAAATGGTGGAAAGTATACTGTTTAATGAGAGAAAGAGGATGGATAACAAAGAAGGCAAAGCAGCCCTAGCGGTAAGTGACTTCTCTTAATTCAGATTACCTGACTTTGTCTTGAGATTTTTAGATTATTATTGAGATATCAAATGTGCTATGCTGATAATGGATTTGTATTTGATTTCTAGACACTGATGGAACAAGATATATTTCATAGAACATTGTTTGCTTGCTGTTTAGAAATTGTTATCTTCTCCTACAATTCTCAGAGGTGAGTTATATGTATTGAAAATCTTTAGATACTGTTGAGGTACTTTTTTCTATGGGGTCATAATTCCACAGAGTCTCTGATTCTGTTCAATCTGCTGGTAGAAAATTACGCAGATATCTTAAGACTCTTTTTATATACCTTATATTTGTATATAGTTCAATGGGACAAATTTCCGCGGCAAATTTGTGACTGCGTACATCGTGTAAATTAATACAATGTACCACGCAGAAAAAAAGTACTTGTACAGTATATGTATTGGAAATTTCCATATGCTATGTCTTATTTAATATTGTACATACAGTGATAAATGATATAAATTGTTTATTCGAAATATTTGAATTTTTCAAACAGAGAGATTATGAAAATGTTCTAAGTGCAGTGATAATTATATGAAATATTTCAACTAAGGGCATGTACAAGGAAAGTAATGTATTTTTAAGGTCCTTTCCTTGGATAGTGGAAATCTTCAACCTCAGTCCTTACCATTTTTACAAAGTGATAGAGATAATTATCAGAACAGAAGAAGGATTATCTCGAGATGTTGTCAAACATCTCAATCATGTAAGTCTGACTTTTCTCTCCTGTGAAAGGTCTTGAACAGAGTGAATATAAAGAAAATCATTTGAGTAGATACATTATGACTCAGTACCTCAGAGATCATCATTGTCATAAATGATTTTACAAACAAACAATAAATCAAAATATTTGTATTCTGCAAGTTCTGATTGAAACATTTGATTGCCAATATATGTATTCTGTTAGGGCTGTCACGGGTACCCGAAATGACCCGGAACCGCGGAACAATTAATTCGGGTCGGGTACGGTTCCGTTTTTCTGGAATTCAGTTCGGTTCCGATTTGTATAATAGAGTAGATTTTACTATAAAATGGCGTCAAAAACAAGAGTTTTGTTAGTATATTGTCATTAAAAGGCAGGGTTTCAGATTGGCGTCGGCCATTTGCCAATAAAAGTTTACCTGCCATGTTGGCCTATAAGTTTGACATTGAACAGACACAATGGCCGATTATCTTCTGTATGTAAAGGCCAGTCGTATAATTTTTCCTCCATTCAGATCCGATTGTTTTTCTCTACTTTCTGCAACTGCCGATTCAATCAGCCAATGACATTTTGGTATAAATAGATCTTGACAAAATACTCTATAATTTTATTTCCAAACCCAACTGCAAGGAGCATAAAGTAGTGATGAATGTTTAAAACATCGAAGGAATTCATTCCATGTTGTTATTTTTACTGCCATGATTGAATATGGGGTCAGACTAATAGCAGGAAACGGACAATGTTGCAAGGTTTTACTAAGGAAAAAAATAGTCTAGGTAATCTTTAAACGTAATTATACATTGAATATCATCAGAGATACAAGTCTAATTTTTGGATCACTATTTTTAAAAATTGTAATCCCAAGAAATAAATACATTTACATGTAATGAAAGGTGGGACTAATATAAGTTAAATACCCATTGAATGGAATTAAAAAAAAACAATTCCCATTCTGTTTCAATATATTAATTTTGTTTAAAAGAAACAAAATAATATTTCCACCTTATTAAAAGGAAAATTAATATGCATGTTTGAATATTTTATGTAATAAAATGACTATTTTGTAAAAGTCTGACAGAAATCTGAGTTAGTTTAACTTTTCTATTGGCCTATAATTTTAGGAAGTTTAGGACAGAATGGCCTATAACTTTTCTGGTAAATATGCCAGATGTCCTATAGTTACTTATTTCAATCTGAAACCCTGAAAGGTGATTTAAATAATTTGGTACAGTTGTTGTCTAGTCAGGAGGCTATTTTAAACTAGTTATAATGTTGCAATTTCTAAGATTAAATGAGAATATTCTTTTTTATTGCTGAAAATAATACAAATCATGAGCTTTTCTTCCATTACCTACCCGACCCGAGAAACCCGAAACCGAACCTCAAAAAATCAGAACCGACCCGACCCGAAAAATTTTGGAACCGTGACAGCCCTATATTCTGTTGATTGAAAAAACAAAGTTTTTTGAATAACATTAAACCAAGTAAACTTTAAAAAAAACATTTTGGCATTGTTGTCTAGAGAATAATAAAATTTAGTTCATTGATCACAAAGTTACTTATACACAATACGTCATAAATTACAATGCTGGTTATGTTCATTTAGATTGAAGAGAGTATTCTAGAGAGCCTGGCTTGGCGGGGTGATTCTCCATTGTGGGATGCCATCAAGGAAAGCAGTGTTCCCGGTTGTGAGGATGTTGTGCTGCCCAATGACCATGATGGGGTGAAAGCCTCACCCGTCAAACATCCAGCGGTCATCAGGGTTACGGAAACTCAGCCTCAACAACCAAAGAAAGGTAATATTGTCACAAGTGCAACATTTTCTCTATAAGAAAACGTTTTCTAAAATATTAGATGTTTTCAAATTATTGTCATGACTTCGGGGGAGGGGGTGTGGTGGTTATGAAATGAATAATTTTAACTTGTGGTTATTTTTATCTTATAAATTAATGTTAGGTAATACTTTCAAGATGTAAAAGTATTTTCAGTTTGAATTCTTAACACCTGCTAACAGTAATCTACATTTTGATTTGGATTATCCACAGATCCGTTGATGTCCCCGCCAGCAGGTGTCTCGGCGGCCGATCGCTTCAGCTCCCCGTCACCAGGGAGTGCCAAAAGAAGACTCTTCAGTGTCCTGACCCAGCCCCTCGATACACCATTGCCTGTACCAGTGTCCTCAGAAAATACTCCCACAGAAAACAGCACTAGTTCAGGGACCAAGACTACACAGATTATAGCCTTCCAGCAGGCTCAGACAAACGATGGAAGACAGGTACAGGGCAAAAGTCACAATCCAAGGAGACTACCAGAGACAATTTACCTAACAGTTTTTAAAAAATTGTCATTTTATTCTATTAGATATACTTAAGTGTCAATATATATATATGATTATCCCCTGATAGCTACCTTCATATAAATATTTTTGAATTCTGGTGTATAAACTGTAGTGGAAAAAAAATGAGACTTGTTTTCAGCATGTTCATGAACAGGTACATTGAAATAAGGAGCCATTAAAGTCAATATGATTTTTTTTTTTTTATCTCAGATCCTCATCCCAGTCCATACTATAATCCATTCAGGAGCAAAAGATGACAAAAAAGACCCTGCTAAAAATAGACCCAAGAAAACAGGCTCGTTGGCTCTCTTCTTCAGAAAGGTTTTGTATAGTTTTGATACGTTTGAAAAACTTAAAATTTATAAATGATTTTATGATTGAAATTTTTCTTTGAGGCTTATTTTTAGCTCACCTCAATGAAGTTGGGGGAGCTTATGTAATACCCTCGGGGTCGGCGTCCCAGGTTAAGGTTAAGTTTTTTGGAGCAGTTTTCTTTTTAAGTACTTCTATGTCTTATATTGATTAGACATGCATGGAAGATGCTTCTAGTGTGTTTCATTGTACCAGTCAAAGTTTCAGATGCTGCAATTTCAGCAAAGGAATGACCAGGTTAATGTTTTTGGAGCAGGTTAACATTTTTGGTGCAGTTTTTGGTGTAGGTTTCATTTCCAAGTAACTATAAGCCCTATGTTGACCAAACTTGCATGTATGATACATCTAAGGATGCATACTACCAGGCTTGCTTCGGATGCTGAATCTGACCTACATTTTACGGTTGAGTGAACAGGTTAAAGTTTTTGGTGCAGGTTTCATTTCCAAGTAACTATAAGCCCTATGTTGACCAAACTTGCATGGATGATACATCTACGGATGCATACTACCGGGCTTGCTTCGGATGCTGAATCTGACCTACATTTTACGGTTGAGTGAACAGGTTAAAGTTTTTGGTGCAGGTTTCATTTCCAAGTAACTATAAGCCCTATGTTGACCAAACTTGCATGGATGATATATCTAAGGATGCATACTACTGGGCTTGCTTCAGATGCTGAATCTGACCTACATTTTCCGGTTGAGTGAACAGGTTAAAGTTTTTCGTGCAGGTTTCATTTCCAAGTAACTATAAGCCCTATGTTGACCAAACTTGCATGGATGATACATCTAAGGATGCACTACAGGGCTTGCTTCGGATGCTTAATCTGACCTACATTTTACGGTTGAGTGAACAGGTTAAAGTTTTTGGTGCAGGTTTCATTTCCAAGTAACTATAAGCCCTATGTTGGCCAAACTAGCATGGATTATACATATAAGGATGTATACTACCAGGCTTGCTTCGGATGCTGTATCTGACCTACTTTTTGTTGATGAGTGAAAATGTTAGTTTTTGATGCATGTTTCATTTCCAATTAACTATGAGTCCTATAATGAGCAAACTTGCATGGATGATACATCTTAGGATGCACACTAATGGACTTGCTTCAGATGCTGAATTCGACATACATTTTCAGATAATAGATACATTTTCAGATAATAGACCAGGTAAAAGTTATGGGTGCAGGTCTATTTCCAAAAAACTATAAGGCTTATATAGCATTGTATAAACCAAACTTGCACAAATGTTGCATCAAGAGATGAAAACTCTCAAATTTGCTTCAGATGCTGGATTTTAATTACATTTTCATGAAGAAGAACTAGTTTAAATTTTTTATGTAGTTCTATTTCAAAATCAGATTAAAATTGCTTAAATATTTTCATTTTTGGAATGTACACTTCTTGTTGGTTAATTGTGTGACTTTGCCTTACTTAAAGACAACATTCGTTGAGGTGAGCTCTGTAATCTCTGATTACCTATGTTTGTTTATAAGTTCTTTGTTTATCCTTTTCAGCTTTATCATTTGGCTAGTGTGAGATTACGAGATTTGTGTGAACAATTATACATTGATGACATTGATCTTAGGAGGAAAATGTGGACTTGTTTTGAGTATGTTCTTGTTAACCATGTGGAGTTGATGATGGACAGACACATTGACCAAATTATTATGTGTGCAATTTATGTAATGGCTAAGGTAAGGAATGATAATGAAAGTGATACTAAAAGTAAGAACACCACAAAAACAAATTCAGTACTCTTTTACTAAATACATGTATTACACTAGTATCTTAGGAAGGTTTTACAGGAATTAAAACTTAAAATCTTAAATTTGAGTCCTTTCATGTTTCTGTGTGTAAAGATAATTGGTTGAAAAAAAAAACGAAATAAATGCATGTAGTTTTAAATTTTGTAATTTGTTCAAATTACTTAACACAGCAGGAAATATCTGTTCAATAGTGAGTTAAGGATTCAAATTTCTATTGCTATGAATAAGATTTATAATTGTTGTAGGTATCAGACCATCCACAGTCTTTCACAGACATCATGCGATGTTACAGACTACAGCCACAAGCTGAAAGTCACGTAAGTCCTGCTGGGAGGAGCATTCCTTATTAGAATCGAGGAGTGAAGAATTTATATTCTTTATATTCTTATCTTTCACTCAATCTTCTCTTTCTTATTTTTGCAGGTTTACAGAAGTGTTCTACTGAAATGTCGCTCTAGAAGGAAATCGGGAGAGAGTGACAGCAGTAAGAATGGCACAAGTGGCCAATCTTCCCCAGTCAACATAGAGAACACAGATAAAAGTAAGGCATAGAATAGAATTGATGATTAAACATGTCTTATCTTCTACTGAACTGCTATTTCAGAGGTCATATACTTTCTTTTCTCAGAGAGATCAGAAAAATTGTCAACAATGAGATCAACAAGTACGCTCCCCACCCCTCACCCCGGGAGCCACCCCCCTACCCCCACCATTCTGATTCAGTCTGCTAGTGGGGGTGAGGAAGGAGAGGAGAGGGGTGATCTCATCATGTTCTACAATAGGGTAACTTATTTTTCAAAGCATGTTGATTTTGAGGAAATGTTTTCTGGGAATGAAACAATTTTTAGCTTTACATCATTTCTTGTAGGTTTTCGTAGAGAAAGTTAAAAAGTTTGCACAGAAGTTTTCTGCTCAAAAGAATTCTAAGGTAAGTATTATTTGAAACTAAGTGTCTTTGAATAGAAAGTTTGCTGTACATCTATAAAAACAATGTTCCTGAGATGATGACTTGGCTTCCATTTAGGAACTAAATTACATGTATATTCAGAAATTGACATTCCTATAAAGTAATATGTATGGAGTGCCAAATTAAATCAAAGTAAGTAAAAGAAGATACATTATAAAATTATTTTGAGATAACTATTCACTTACTGTGCACAACCATTGATTTAATTATGATAGGAGTAGGAGGTTGAGTAGTATCCTCTGTGTCACCCAGAAAAGTAGTTGAACACTGCTTGAATATCAAAAGAAGTTGCTTTAAATATTCAAAGCACTGTAATTACCATGGTATGTCACATTCAGGTTTATGTTTTGCGAAAGCTGTTTTGCTACATTATTGGTATTGATCCACGTATATTATTACAGGATTGTCCACCTCTGTCACCTTTACCAGTGGTCAAAAGTCAGTCAGCCTCTCCTAGGCGAGTGTCCAGTAAACACCCTATTTATCTCTCTCCGCACAAACCAACCTTACATGCAACACCCATGGCAACTGGATTGTCTTACTCTTTTCAAAAGAGTCCTGCAAAGGTACATGTAAATTAAATATATACATGTAGTTTTTGGTACCAAAAAAAGTCGTATTTAGCAAGGAAAAGTATGGAAACTGAAAATGTCTTTTAAAATATATAATCCATTCCTGTTTTGATAGGATTTAAGGGCCATTAACAACATGATAAAAATGAAAGACTTTAGGGAGGGTAAGAAGATTCTGGGTAAACGTCAACTGGATGTCACCATGGAAGAGGAGGATGCTCCACAGACCAAACAGCTGTGTACATACTCCTTCTTAAAAAGGCTACAGAACGTTAGCAGCGACAGACAGGAAGCCAGCGTCCTGAAACTGGACTAATTCATCTCTTCTTCTGTCATTATTCTGTCATACCGATCTCAAGAATTTTTTTCTGTTAAATTGAATGGATCAATAGAAAAACAAGGACGAGTTCAATATGTATTATTTTAAATGCAATATCCTACGAATGGTAGTCCCAGGAATATTCGTGCAAAATGTAGATTAAGTCCTTGTTTGGTAATTTTCAGTGTGCAATCTTCAGTAAAACTCATTTAGATAAAACAAACATTGAATTAACTCATCTTATTTTGATCAATTGTCCATTATGTGTACAATTCATTGTAAATCACACAATGTGCAGATATGTATAGTAGATGTAAGAACAGTTTACATAGGAATGGAATTCTCTTTGGAATTGTGCTGATCAATTTTGCTGTATTTTTGTACAGTGTGTAAATATGTGTACAGTATCATTTTGTATAGTCAGGGATTTTTTTTTATATAAACAATATAAAAATGAATTTCCTTTGGAAGTATTTTATTTGTAAACGTCATATTTATCCAATTTTTAGCATTTTATAAAATGCATAAATGCCATTTTAATTTTGAGAATATGTGGAAAAACTTTGTCAAATCATGTTTTTCTTACTAGTATACATTTTTTAAAGATGTCTTGATTCATTTCAGTCCTATCTGTGTATACTTACAGAATGTTCATGTGCATGTATGTATGTCAGAGAAGGTGATAAATCCCTGTAACTGATTATTTTTGGCAATTTCTTTTCCTCAACATTTCATTGTAGAATTCTAATTTGAATCTTACAAAAACTATCTCTTTTCTACAAAGCAATTGCAGATTTCATTTTCTTAGAATAATTGTTTTTAAAAGGTGTAAAAGTTCTATAACGTAGCCTTTTGTTCTGAGAATATGCCAATGAAATGTCTCCATCTTTCTGTCCATATCGGTGAAAAATTTGATAGGTTTTACTGTGGAATCTCGGGGAGTGAAAGTTTTGTGTTTCCTTAACACATCTTGTTTTGAAATAATATTTATATGGTGCTCTTTGTTGAATATATATTGTCAAATTAATATTACATAAAATTTTTAAAAAATATTTGCATATTAATTTAAGGTCAATAAGTTGTTAAATTTAGTGCAACCTTTTCTTTAACTATGAATATTTGAAGAAAAAAATTGTTATGAATGGAATCACAATATGAAAAATGTCATAGTAAATAAAATATACAAAGATTTTTTTCTTCATTGATTTGTTGTCAGTCCCCAACTGGTAAAACTGGAGGGTATTAATTTAGATTTAGTATCTGCTCCTGTCAATGGGTTTATTTCACTTGGTTTTCCGGACCTTTCTTTTATATAGGCCAAATTTTGGTATACTAGTTTAATTTTTAACTGTTTAAAAGTTACTTAATGTCAGAGTCAAAATCATCTGTTTCTTTTAAGATGTCTGTTTGGTAATACGAATGATTTATAAAAATTATGAGTATAGTTCAAATGAAGGACCACACCTTTTCCAAGGGGAGATAAGTAAGGAAAATAACATTTATATGAAAGCTTCTTGACTTAATGTAGATTAAGTTTTTTCACATCATAACCCCATGGTCCATTGTTTACAATAGGGGATCAAGTTTTATCAAAGAATTTAGGAAAATATCTTTAAAAATTTTTTTTGAAGAACAGCAAAGCTGTGATAATTGATACATCCTCAGATGGTTTTTGATTCAGGTTTGTTCTAATCATGACCTTTTTGGGGGGGGGGGGGGGGCAGAATAGGGGTTTGAAGTTTTACATAAGAAAATGGAGCAAAAATCTCTCAAGAACAGAAAAAGCCATGTTTAGTCATATTGACATGTAAGTAATCTCATGTAGTGATGATTCAAATTTGTTCAAATCATGACCCTGGGGGTAGGGAGGAGCCACAATGGAGGATAAGATTTTTAAGCTCAACTGAGCTGAAAGCTCAAGTTTTTTAGCTCACCTGAGCCGAAGGCTCAAGTGAGCTTTTCTGATCACATTTTGTCCGTCGTCCGTCCGTCTGTCTAGCTGTCTGTCTGTCCGTCTGTAAACTTTTCACATTTTCGACTTCTTCTCAAGAACCACTGGGCCAATTTTGACCAAACTTCGTACAAAGCATCCTTGGGTGAAGGGGAATTTGAATTGTTAAAATGAAGGGACATATCCCCTCGCAAGGGGAGATAATCAAGAAAAGACAAAAATAGGGTGGGGTCATTAAAAAATCTTCTTCTCAAGAACCACTGGGCCAGTAAAGCTGAAACTTATGTGGAAGCATCCTGGGGTAGTGTAGATTCTAAATTGTTCAAATCATGACCCCCGGGGGAAGGGCGGGGCCATAATGGCCGATCAAAGTTTTATATAGAAATATATAGGAAAAATCTTTGAAAATCTTCTTCTCAAGAACCACTGGACCAGAAAAGCTGAAACTCATGTAGAAGCATTGTGGGGTAGTGTAGATTCTAAATTGTTCAAATCATGACCCCTGGGGGTTGGGCGGGGCCACAATGGGGAATAAAAGTTTTACATAGAAATATATAGGAAAAATCTTTGAAAATCTTCTTCTCAAGAACCACTGGGCCAGAAAAGCTGAAACTCATGTAGAAGCAGTGTGGGGTAGTGTAGATTCTTAATTGTTCAAATCATGACCCCTGGGGGTTGGGTGGGGCCACAATGGGGAATAAAAGTTTTACATAGAAATATATAGAAAAAATCTTTGAAAATCTTCTTCTCAAGAACCACTGGGCCAGAAAAGCTGAAACTGATGTGGAAGCATTGTGGGGTAGTGTAGATTCTTAATTGTTCAAATCTTGACCCCCGGGGGTTAGGCGGGGCCACAATGGGGAATAAAAGTTTTACATAGAAATATTTAGGAAAAATCTTTGAAAATCTTCTTCTCAAGAACCACTGGGCCAGAAAAGCTGAAACTGATGTGGAAGCATTGTGGGGTAGTGTAGATTCTAAATTGTTCAAATCATGACCCCCGGGGTAGGGCGGGGCCACAATGGGGAATCAAAGTTTTACATAGAAATATATGGAAAAAATCTTTGAAAATCTTCTTCTCAAGAACCACTGGTCCAGAAAAGCTGAAATTCATGTGGAAGCATTGTGGAGTAGTGTAGATTCTAAATTGTTCAAATCATGACCCCCGGGGGTTAGGCGGGGCCACAATGGTGAATCAAAGTTTTACATAGAAATATTTAGGAAAAATCTTTGAAAATCTTCTTCTCAAGAACCACTGGGCCAGAAAAGCTGAAACTGATGTGGAAGCATTGTGGGGTAGTGTAGATTCTTAATTGTTCAAATCATGACCCCCGGGGGTTAGGCGGGGCCACAATGGGGAATAAAAGTTTTACATAGAAATATTTAGGAAAAATCTTTGAAAATCTTCTTCTCAAGAACCACAGGGCCAGAAAAGCTGAAACTGATGTGGAAGCATTGTGGGGTAGTGTAGATTCTTAATTGTTCAAATCATGACCCCTGGGTGTTGGGCGGGGCCACAATGGGGAATAAAAGTTTTAATATAGAAATTTATAGGAAAAATCTTTGAAAATCTTCTTCTCAAGAACCACTGGTCCAGAAAAGCTGAAATTCATGTGGAAGCATTGTGGAGTAGTGTAGATTCTAAATTGTTCAAATCATGACCCCCGGGGGTTAGGCGGGGCCACAATGGTGAATCAAAGTTTTACATAGAAATATTTAGGAAAAATCTTTGAAAATCTTCTTCTCAAGAACCACTGGGCCAGAAAAGCTGAAACTGATTTTAAGGCACCTTGGGGCAGTGTAGATTCTAAAATTTTCAAATCATGACCCCCGGGGGTAGGGCGGGGCCACAATGGGGCATCAATGTTTTACATAGAAATATATAGGAAAATCTTTGAAAATCTTCTTCGCATAAGAACTACTGGTCCAGAAAAGCTGAAACTGATGTGGAAGCACCCTGGTGTAGTGTATATTCTAAATTGTTCAAATCATGACCCCCAGGGGAAGGGCGGGGCCACAATATGTATTACAAGGGGGGAATCTGGTAAAGAACAATATGACAAAAGATTCTCAGGTGAGCGATGTGGCCCATGGGCCTCTTGTCTGATCACCTGTTGTCCGTCCATCTGTAAATTTTTCACATTTTCAACTTCTTCTCAAGAATCACTGTGCCAGTTTTAACCAAACTTGGTACAAAGTATGCTTGGGTGAAGGGAAATTTAAATTGTAAAAATAAAGGGCAAAATTCCCTTCCAAGGGGAGGTAATCAAGAAAATACAAAAATAGGGTAGGGTCATTAAAAAATATTCTGAAGAACCACTGGGCCAGAAAAGCTGAAACTTAAATGGAAGCATTTTTGGGTAGTGTAGATTCTAAATCAATTGTTCAAATCATGACCACAGGGGGTAGGGTGGGGCCACAATAGTGAATCCACGTTTGACATAGTAATATATATGAAAAAAATTTAAAAATCTTGTTTTAAAGAACCACTGCTACAGAAAAGCTGAAACTTATGTGGAACTATCCTTAGGTAGTGTTGATTCTAAATTATTCAAATCATGACCCCCCGGGGGTAAGGCGGGGCAACAGTATGGAATCAAAGTGGCCAAAAACTTAAAATATCTTCTCAAGAACCACTGGTTCAGAAAAGATGAAACTTATGTGGAAGTATCTTTGGGTAGTATATATTCTAAATTGTTCAAATCATGACCCCAGGGGGAAGGACGGGGCAATAATAGGGAATCCAAGTTTTACATTGAAATATATAGGAAAAAACTTGAAAAATCTTCTTGGAACAACTGGACTAAAAAAGCTTAAACTTATGTGGAAACATCCTGGCGTAGTGTAGATTCTAAATTGTTCGAATCATGACCCTTGAGGATTGTCAAGGTCAAGATAGGTATAACAAAGGGGGAAATTTGTTAAATGACAGAATGGTCAAAGTTACTCACGTGAGCGATGTGATCAATGGGCCTCTTGTTTTCGCCCGCTGTATTTTCGGCCTTTTAAACTTGCAAACAATTTTGCCCCGTCTTAAGTTCGTCCAGTCACATTTCTGTTTAAGAAAAATTGTCCCGTATTCTTTAAATTCCCTCCGTTTTAAATTCGCCTAACCAAAGGTAAGGCGAAAGGGGCGAAAATAAAACGGGGCGAAAATTTCCCCGTATACAGTAATTACATACCTCTATGGAAATATAAAAAGTATACACTGGAAAAGAATGTTGGGCATAAATCCAGTGAGATTCATGAATTAATGAGATTGTCTACTCATGGGGCATGGACATTTGCTTGATTACATTAGAGCGAACACATTCATCTATTAAAATCATAAACAGAGAAATTTCTCCCTCAACAATAATATCATTACAATCTACTTTGAATAATTAACCGATTCAGTCAAACAAATACACTTTGTCCGAACAACTTATTTGTCCAAATAAATATAATAATTCACTAAACGAATACCAAACAAATAGTACATATC